ATAATATTTTTTCTTCTGGAGAAAGTCTTCAGCAGGCACACAACGTCATGCAGGTATTTGGTTATATTTTGGTTGCGACGTCCAGGGAGCAAAATCCAATGTCAACGTCAAATGACGTCGAGACATCCAGTAAAACAGCAGTAGACGTTGATCTGTGGTTGATTTTAGGTTGTGGAGTTAACTTACCAAAATCCAACGTAATCTTCCAGAGTTCACACTTATGATTTGCAGTATATATAGCTTGTCCTCGGGCCCAGGGCTCCCTCCCTTCCACAGGGCGAGGGGAGATTGAGCTCAGGTCATTTTCGAAACTCCCCTGCTGCTGAGGCTAAGGTGAACTTCCTGAGAGTAAGACATTTAGAAAATTTTAGTTCTAAATATAGAGCATATTTGGATAGTGGGAATAAACCCGGGATCCTGGGGGAAACCCACGCGGACACGGGGAGAACATGCAAACTCCGCACAGAAATACCAGATGGCCCAGTGAGGACCCGGCGCCATTGGTATTCTTGCTGTGAGGCAATAATGCTAGTCGCTGGGCCACCGTGCCGCCCATTCTGGATAAAGAAAGGGAGAAGGGGGGTTTCTTCCAGACGAAGATAGTTGTAGAAAGGAAATGAGAATATATATATAGTGTGTTGGAATCCTTTGTGGTTAGGTAATGTGGGGCAGCTGGGTCAATCATGAGCACATGCTCCTCTTGAATTAATACTAAACTCCACTTTATAATGAATAAAGCAGTTTTTAATTGTTTTAAACTCATTTTAAGGTCAATATTATTCGTCCCTTCAGCAATATTAGTGTTGGATTGTCTGCAAAACAAACCACTGTTATACAATGACTTGCCTAATTACCCTAACTTTACCCTAATTACCCTTGTGAAGCCTTTACATGCATTACCAACAGTCTGAATGCATCACAATGCACATTTAAGAGCACTGTCACAAGTGTATCTTGAAGAATATCTTATCTAATATTTTGTGCTGTCATCATGGCAAAGAGAAAAGATTTTTGTTATTATGAGCTTTTAAAACTATTATGATTAGAAATGCATTGAGATCATCTCTCAGTTAAGCAACACTTTGGGAAATATTTGCAAATTTCCCAGGATTGCTAATAATTTTGACTTCAACTTTATGCACAGTAGTTTGTATATTGCCATATATCAGATTTCAGTATAGGAGATGGACAAAATATCTGTGTAATGTTTCCATTTTGCTTTATATGTTGAATATCATTAGTATTAAAATAGCTCAAACTGAAGCCCGCATGTGCTGTAGAGCATCATTTCCCAGCAGCACTGTGAGTGCCGACGGTCTTCATAATCTACTTCAGTTTTACGATGCTTTTGGGAAATGCTCTCTTACTTTAAACAGTTACTTCAGCCAAGAGCCAGATTTAAAGCCATTAGACAGCGTTGAATAAATATGATCAACATTTACCACCAATCACAACACAGACAGCTTTAGGCCATCCCCTCCTGTTATTTTAGATCTTTTACATTCTTTATATTATTATACATATATTTTATTATATTATATTATATTATATTATATTATATTATATTATATTATATTATATTATATTATACATTATATCTTATTTTGATGTGTAGATATCCATAGCAGTACGTGAATGAATCTATTGTGGTGATTCTACAGTTGCTATGGTAACACAACAACTATAGTAACTGGTCTGTTGTGGTGATTCTACAGTTGCTATGGTAACACAACAACTATAGTAACTGGTCTGTTGTGGTGATTCTATTGACTTTATTCAAAAATGCGGAAGTGCGCCTGTTTTTGCAATTGTTTTAGAACTTCCCATTCAGTCGTCAATGGAGAAATGACTAGGACTAGAACGGTCAGGACTAGAACGGTCAAACTACTTGCTCTAAAAACAAATGTTTGCATGACTATACAGACCAAGTAGAATAATGCAATAAGAAAATATCAGTTTGCAACATCAAACAGCAGAACGAGCAGTTTTTAATGTCTAAAAATGAATTGAAGTGAATGAGACCGGAAGTCTCGAGCAAAAAACATTCAAATGGCTGCGCCCGCTTGTCGACGAATAATAAGGTGAATAGTTGCTATGGTAACACAACAACTATAGTAAATCGTCTGTTGTGGTGATTCTACAGTTGCTATGGTAACACAACAACTATAGTAAATCGTCTGTTGTGGTGATTCTACAGTTGCTATGGTAACACAACAACTATAGTAATTGATCTGTTGTGTCCATTCTACAGTTGCTATGGTAACACAAGAACTATTGTAACTGGTTTGTTGTGGTGATTCTATAGTTGCTATGGTAACACAACAACTGTAGTCAGGGGCAGACTGGCGGTAAGGAGGACCGGGAGGGACGGTCAATCTGGCCTGTCACTGTGACTGAACACCGAACACCAACCTCCCCCACCCCATCCACCATCAACCCCCCCCCCCCCCCCAGTCTCATCAATCGCTGCCCAACTCTCCCCGCTTACCGATCCCCTCTACCCACCACCCATCCCCGCTTCCCACACCAACCCTCTTCATTTACTGATCGCCCCAAGATGGCATCAAATGTGGCCTGGACAACAGTAACTTTTTCCTGTTTGAAAATGCTGTGCCACTCCCCAGACTATAGTAATT